AATAAAGAAAATGGCAAACATGAAAGGGCTCATGGAGAAAGTGCTGTAGATGGTTCTATGTAGAACCTTTTTGAAAATGGTTCTATATTGCACCCAAAGGGTTCCTCTAATGTCACAATGTCAAGCTTGTAACAATAGAAGAACCCTTTTGGGCGCTATATAGAACTTTTTAAAACGGTTCTATAAAGAACTATCTATAGCACATTCATGCACATTTTTCATCTGTCTGAAGAACCCTTTCATGACACAAAGAACCATTTAATCATGCAAAGGGTTCTTTGAATGTTCATGGTTCTATATTGAACCGTTTTCTTTACTAAAGAACCCTTAAAGAACCATCTTTTTAAGAGTGTAGAGTGTTGCTAGTTGGTTCCTATGGTGTCCCAGGCGGTTACTAGAGTGTTGCTGGGTGGTTGCTATGGCATCCCGGGTGGTTGCTAAGGTGTTGCTTGGTTGTTTCTATGGTATCCCAGATTGTTGCTTGTTTGTTTCTATGGTGTCCTTGATGGTTGCTGTGGTATCCCAGGTGGTTGCTATGGTTCCCTACATGGTTGATAGGATGCTGCTAATGGACTTGTATCAACAAGACAAAAGTTGGGTGCACAAACTTTGCACCCATTCATTCCTATGGGAAAACAAAATTATTATTTAACGATAATTGTACGAAAACCATACGTCTGATTAAAAAGCTACAAAGCACATCATTCCCAATCAGACCGGACATTCTGGAGTTGAAACTGCGTTGATATCTTGAAAACTGCTCTGCAGTGCGTGATCGCTGATTACACAGTAAAGTGTATAGTGAAATGTGGTGGTATAATACGTAAGAGAATTACATGATGGAATTAGACGGTAAAGAAGTAGACGGTAAAGTTACATGGTGAAGTTAAATCAGACAGTACAATTATAGAATAGAGTTACATCACAAAATTTTACAGTAAAGCTAAACAGTAAAAATACCCGGTAAAGTTACACACTGAAGTTACATGATGCCGTTTTATTGCATGGTCACATTGTCACTGTAAAATTCTGGTGAAGTTACACAGTAAAGTTTCAAGGTAAAATTGAATGTTAACATTATGTAGTAAAGTCATGTGGTTCTTTTCTCAAACGCTAGAGGGCGCTCCCGAGCGAGTCCAAAATGAATGGGTTAATATGGAGCATTTTGAGTAAAATCATAGTTTATAAATGCTTGAACATTTTTAATGTAAAATAATGCATTTACACTGAACAATGAATAGCATGAAACATTTTAACACTGCTGTTATATTTGTAAGAGCTTTAGGAGTTTGAAACGGCACCTCATGTACATCCATGATGTCTGTGAGGATGAACAGCTGGTGAGCTGGTGAGTAGCAGTAATGTGAGCGTCCAGCGATTAGAAACTATTTTAACTTTTCGTTTTTAGCCGTTGAGCTCCTTTCACGCCCATTCGTTGAGGACTCGCTCATGGGTGCCCTCTGCTGTTTTGCAGTCCTGTTTTTGATATAACGGGGGAAATAGGAAGTGGCCCAGGCTCCTCATAAACCAGCTCTGGTATGAACTCAAGTTCAAGGATGAGAGTTTCTACAGTGTCTAAGAAGATGCCTGTTTAATTTGAAACTAGTCTGAAAAGTCAGGCGGTAATCAAATGGTGCAAACAGACCAGCACAGTTTAATAACTGAAACAGGCAATTAAAGCTTTGATAACAGTAACTATGTTTAAGATATAAAATGCACAGAGATGGAAATTCTAATATATATTCAAATATAAAAATGCACACCATGTTCTTTTTAAAGTCATATTGAAAACTTTGTCCTTGACCCAAATAGTACAATTTCGGTCACACTTTATTTGGATGGGCCCCTGTAGATGATCTACAGATACTTAAATTATTAACACACTTCTGGTGATACTTAGTTGAGTATATGGTTATGGTTAGGGTTAGGTTTAGGAGTAGGTTTAGGTTTAGGGTTGAAATTAGTGTTAGGGTTAGGTTTAGGATTAGATTAATAGAATCTTTCAGACTAAACTTCAAGTTTAGTTGCATTGAATTGATATTTAGTTGAATGTTTGTTAAATACAGAACTACAAAGCATCTACAGTTGACCATCCAAATAAAGTGTTAAATCACATAGTAAAGTTAAAGATTAGACCGTGAAATTATTGCCTCAGGCTGTGAAAGCCTGTATACACTTTAACACTGAATGCCTGTGTTTTTTACTGCGCTTTAATATTGATATATGTAGGTGGTAGATAGTAATCAGAGGAAGGGATGGAGGCAGGTTCACTGTATGAGTTGGTGTGTTTGCCTGTTGGGGGGGTGTTATTTGGTAAGTACTGAATTTTTAATGCTGGTGTGTGTGTGTGTGTGTGTGTGTATCTGTGTGTGTGTGTGTGTGTGTGTGTTTTGTAAGTGATAGGTCTGTCCAGTCTGGCCTTCATTTGCTCCGGGACAAACTGTAACATGTTTTCCAATTAAGTAGCACCAACAGTGTGTGTGTGTGTGTGTGTGTGTGTGTGTGTGTGTGTGTGTCTGTCTGTCTCCTGTTTCTCTGCTTTACACAGGACCACTGACCCACTCAGCCCTCTGCACACTGAGACCCAAATTACACACACATACACTCCCTAATCAACACTCACCTCTGCCCTGAACACACACACACACTCCAGTCACTACAGTAATAATGCAGTTTTGATAAATCTGTAAATTAGGCCTGTATTATCAGTGAATATTGGTAATGTGTGATGATAGATTTGTTTTTAGTTTAAGAGCATTTTGTGCACATTTCTCTCTCTCTCTCTCTCTCTCTCTCTCTCTCTCTCTCTCTCTCTCTCTCTCTCTCTCTCTCTCCCCACCTCTCTCTCTTCTTCCCTGCCCTCTCTGTATATCTCTCTCGCTCTCTCTCTCTCGTGTGTGTGTGTGTCTCTCTCTCCTCTGGGTTTATTCTGGTTAGTGTTTGGTGTGTGTACAGTGACAGTGTTCAGAGTTGCTGGTGAAAGTGTGGAGTTTTATCACATATTGAACTCGAGTGAGTTCTCATGATGAAGGTTTTGCTCATGATGGAGTTTTTAGTCAGGAAACACTTCAGCAGTTACACTGGGGGGGTTTGATGAGAATGTGGGAGAGCCGATGTGGTTTGTGTGGCTCAGAACAGGATAAACAGCTCTATATCACATATACCTGTGGTTCATGAGAATGTGCGAGATATGGGTGAGTTAGGGTCACCCCATATCTAAAGTTTTGTTGTTTTTTCAGTTTTTCACATAAATGGAAAGTATCTGTTTCCCTTTACGTTGTCTGTAAATTTAATGTTGAATGAACCAAAAGAAACGGCCCAAAATTACTTGGAAAAAATTCAGGTTCCATTGACTTACATTAAAAGTAAAGTATGTTTTTTCCTTCTCCTGTAAAGTTATCATTTTGGAGATATGAGGTTTTGTTCCGACATCAGCGATATATATATATATATATATATATATATGTGTGTGTGTGTGTGTGTGTGTGTGTGTGTAAAATTACAAAACTATATAAAATTATTATCACAACATTAGTGGATATAAAGATAAAAAGCAGACACAAGGCAACCTAATATAATTGTAAATATAATAACAAAATTAAAGTAATAATCTAAGTTATCTATTAACATATTAGTGCTATATAATATTAGAATAAAATGAATGTACTTTATCTAGAACATAATGTTTTATTATATATTATATTCATATTATATAAAAAAGAAAGTGCAGTGTTACAGTTCAGCCCATGGGTGGTTCACTATAACAGACAGAGGGTCTGTTTAACACCTTCTAGAAAAGTCTGAATTAGTGAAAACTCATGTGCAACTTGTGTTGTACTGGGGCGGCGGCCCACCATTTTTGATTGAGCTCAGCCTTGGTAAGGCTCTGTGCAGGCCACTGGAGCTCGCTTTGTGCACGGGGGCTCAGTCCTACTGGAACAGGAAAGGCTCTTCCCCAAACTGCTGACACAAAGCTGGAGGCAGGGACCCAAACCCTGAAAAACAGCCCCCGCCCATTATCCCTCCTCCACCAAACTTTACTGCTGGCACTGTGCATTCCAGTAGGTTATGTTCTTCTGGCATCCGCCAAACCCAGATTCATCATCAGACTGGAGATATTGAAGCGTGATTCATCACTTCAGACAACACGTTTCTGCTCCAGTGGCAGTGCTTTACACCACTCCAGCCGACGCTTGGCATTGCACATAGTGATCTTAGGCTTGTGTGCAGCTACTCAGCCATTGAAATCCATTTCATGAAGCTCCTGATGCACAGTCCTTGTGTTGATGTTGCTTCCAATGGTAGTTTGGAACTCCGTAGTGAGTGATATGATGGAGGACAGACGCTTTTTACACACCTCGGTGCTTGTGGCCCCGCACTGTGAGTTTGCGTGGTTTACCACTTCCTTACTTGTTGCTCCTAGATGCTTCCATTTCACAATGATGGCACTTACAGTCTAGCAAAGTAGACATTTTCACAAACTGACTTGTGGCAAAGATGTCATGCTGTGGCAGTATCACATTTAAAGTCACTGAGCTCATCAGTACGACCCACTCTACTGCCAGTGTTTGTCTATGGAGTTTGCAAGGCTATGTGCTTGATTTTATACACCTGCACTCAATAATTAGGAAGGATGTACCTCTGGATGTATAGTGCGTTTATGTAGTTACATGATTAATTACATTAACGTTAAGTTTAAATTCTGTACAGGTTTAACTTCTGACTTTTTTTATGCTTGTTTTGCTGTCTAAAGTGACAAATATGAGGGGGAAAAAGATGTTTTTCTTTATGCAAAACAAGACTACACACAATAATAGCTTGTCAGATTCAGAGCATTATAAAATATCTCCTCTTCTACGTAAAAACACTCATGTGGTATAGATTAATAGTTTAGAATCTGCACTTTCCACACAATTTTTCCTTGTTTCGATGAACTATCAGAAAATGTTCAGATGAAACTGTAGCTATTAACCAATTTCTTTTCTCTGTTTGATTGACAGGTACAAGCCCTTCTTCCCATTCCAAGTGCAGCCGTCGCCGGCCTCGTCATGTGACTCGGATTTATCAGTTCAGGATTCACGACTGGTGGAGGGACGTCTCCGTGTCACACTTGTTGAATGTAGCAGGTAAAGATATATTAGAGGAATAGTTTGGTGCAGAAGAAAGCGCATACAGCCCCCCCCCTCCGTAGTGTGTTATACAGCGTCAGAAACCACGTAATCAAGTCTGTTAGAGATACTAAACTACTCTACACAGTTTGAGGCAAGCATGATGATTTAGGGCTGCATTTAGCACCATGCTAATTGGTGTACATAAGCTTCCATTAGCTCCGTTAGCTTTATAGCTTCAAAGCACAACTAAAGAAGCAATCTTCAGACATTGAACAGGTCTTGAATGGGATAAGGGGGGAATTTTTTGCCAGACTTGTCCTTTATCTGTCACTCCAGCTAAGATAACCAAAGCACGTTTGTATCAGCAACACTTTATCCTAATATCTCCACAGTCCTGACTCAGGGCTGAAGAGGTCAAAGCTGCTGGATTAGTGGAACTCTAAGATAACATATGTTTGGGTTCGGTGTAGGACAGCATTGAGGTTGAGCTGATAAAGTTACTTTGTGTTCAGCTCAGCGCTTTCTTACACTGAATAGGTCAGTTTACTAGCTGGAAAACACTGCTTCATAGTTTCACTATCACATTCATGAGTTACACAATACAAGTTACAAAAACAAGTTGGTCAACACCACATTGCAGTCATGTGTTTAAGCCATGGAGGCAAACACCTACCTTGTACTTCCATATAATGGCCTCTTTATAGGAAACACCTACCTTGTACTTTCACTCACTGGCCACTTTATTAGAAACACCCACACTGTGCTTTTACTCAGTGGCCACTTTGTTAGAAACACCCACCTTCTGCTTTTGCTCACTGACCACCTTATTAGAAACACCCACCTTGTACTTCCACTCAGTGGCCACTTTATTAGAAACACCCACCTTGTGCTTCCACTCACTGGCCACTTTATTAGAAACACCCCCAGGCATTTAATATGCTGCATTGTGTATGTTTAAATGTAATAACATAATTATAAAGTCATAGTGTGAGCTAAATAGACAAATGTAAAGCACTAGCACATCGTCAGCAGCCAGAGTCATAATATAAATATAAATATTTAAATAACACAGATCTTAAAAAGTGCTATGTTAAAGGTAAGAGGCGACTGGCTGTTTAATGAGTGCTCTTAACTGCCTCACCATATTATTCTCTTAATACTGCAACACAGATTGGCCAAAATCGAAATAGTAAACTGGGAGATTGCTAATTACTTGCCTGAAAAAAAATCTGCCTATTTATTTATGTATGTATTATTTATGGTTCAGTGTATGGCACCAGACTGTAGGCGCTAAATAAGTGCAGTGTGTTGTGTTTTGTGTCTCCAAGTACTCACAAATTAAATTACGCTTCACAGCCAGCTCAGCGCCACAAACGCAGGCTTTGTTGATTTAGTTTCTTTCAGTTCTTTGGCTGTCATTTGTTTGGTTGCAGTCCTGTTTATTGCCGCTTCATCTGACATTCAGGGAATCTAGATTAGGAGATTAGATATAAGATAATCCACTTGCATAAGGAAGAAGAAACAGAACTTCCCAGAACTGGAGTTCAAAAGCTGATTAAAAGCTACAGAGAAAATGGGGCTCCTAACAACCACCTGGAAGACCAGGTAGACACCAAAACTGCCCCATCAGATAAACAGCACTTGAAGCTTTCATCTTTGAGAGAGAGGAGAAAATCAAGCTGCTCCAGATCTGAAATCATCCACAGGTGTTTCTGTCCATCTTTCCACTGTGAGAAGACAACTCAGCGCTGTGGGTCTGAAAGGATGTGTAGCTGTCAAGAAGAACCTCAGTGAGAAAAGGAGACACATCAAACAAAGAAGCTGAACAATGGACTGACCACCCCAGAGTCCAGACCTCAACATCACTGAATGTGTTTGATTACTTCAGAAAAGGATCAACCAGCTTCTAAGACTGAACTTTGGATGTGTGTCTGCAGATTCTTTGAGGAGCTGAAAGTGAGTCTCCTGAAAAGAATGGAAGCTGGAATAAAGCTAAAGAGTGACTCACAGAACACTGAAAAAAAGTGGTTAACTCTGTTTCCCTGATGCTAAATAATGAACCTACCCTAAACTCTTGGTGGTGCGGCTGTTCTGTCCTCATAATCAGCTTCTGGTCATTTCTTAACAGCTAGTAAAGCGATGTAGGTGCCAAAAATGACCTTGTCGTTTGTTCTGTGGCAGAGACGAAGGACGTGGCCTTGCTAGCCCGTTCACACCAGCCGCCCTGCTGCTGGCCAGTGCAGTGAAATCCTAAACGCCTGCCTGCAAGCTGCTGCGCTTCCTCTCTCACGCAGACAATATGACCGCAGCAGCGTCCACGTCACCGGCGCGTGTGAGATTGGTGATAGAGTGGTGATCAGAAAGAGCAGCTCATGAATAATAAACTCCATCTGGTCATTATGAACCCAACCCAGCACTGACTGAGAGAGCAGCTCCAGACACTGAGAGGAAGTAGAGCGGGAGGGCCTTTGGGAGCAGTGCACGGGTCAAACGATTCATTTGCTCTGAAGCAACACAAACATCTAAATACTTTATGTAAGATAAAATAATCATAAGCTTCAAACGTTGTTACACTCGCAGTAAACAATACAAATCACGTCTAAATATCAGCTTTTTGAGTGGTTAGTGTGTCACTCTTTGGCCCAATCACATTTCACCCCTCCCCTCTACCACTTAGCCCTACCCTTTGATTTGTGTGTTCACTCCTAGGGGTAGGGTGTCCTGATTCTTGTTGAGATAGAGGGGTAGGGTGAAGTGTTAGGGCTACATGACCCTCCAAATGGAGGTTATGAAAAAAAGAAAACTGGCAAGATGGAGCAAAAGTGACCAAAGAAACCCACAAATGTGAGAATTTTCTCCATTAAAAAGTACAATAACCATTGTATAGCTTAGTTTAATGTAATTACAATGTAATATGGTCCTGTTCCTTATAACTAGCATAAAAAGTTGCTAATAGTATGCTAATGTCTCTAGCTAAATGTCCCTTTCCACCTTAAATGGTGCAGCAGTTACATTCTGGCACTTTAGGTGTCAGAACTGCTGCACCATTTAAGGTGGAATGGGAAAATTAGAACAAGAAGCTGACAAGTAACTGACTCCAGCTTCACCTACACTCTTAAAAAAGATGCTTCAAGGGTTCTGTGGTAAAGAAAACAGTTCTATAAAGAACCATTAACATTCAAGGAACCCTTTGTATGACTGAAGGGTTTTTTTGCATAGTGAAAGCATTCTTCAGATTGATGGACAATGTGCTGTAGATAGTACTATATAGAACCTTTTTAAAAAGTTTTGTAAAACACCCAAAAGGGTTCTTCCATTGTTACAAGCTTGGCATCGTAACAAACGTGAAAAAAGAAACTTGCTTTTTCATAAAAAGGTTCTGTATAGAACCATCTACAGCACATTCTTAAGAACCCTTTCATGTTGCAATAAAAGTTTAATCATGCAAAGGGTTCTCTGAGTGGTCATGGTTCTTTATAGAACCATTTTCTTTACTATAGAACCCTTGAAGCGTCTTGAACCCTTCTGGGTGCTATATAGAGCTCTTTTCAAATGTTTCGATATAGAACCACATTCTGAAGAACCTTTTCATGATTCAAAGAACTTTTTAATCATGCAGAGGGTTCATGGTTCTATATAGAATCATTGTCCTTACTACAGAACCCTTAAAGAACCATCTTTTTTAAAAGGGCAGAACCCTTTTGGGTGCTGTATAGAACCTTCTGCATCAGTCTGAAGAACCATTTCACCATGCAAAGAACCCTTTAAGCATGCAAAGGGTCCTTTATTTCATTAATCATAACAGTAATCAGACGTGTTCTGTATCACACTGTAACGCTTATGATGATATGGAAATCAGTTTGGATTGTTTTGTGCAAGAACGTCACAGATAATCTGACTGAACGGCTCGTTTTGAATCCTCACTTCCTGCTTCAGTCCACTGTGTGCCGTCATTGTTTCTCCACTAGAGGGCGATAACTGACCAGCACGCCTCTATAAGAACATCAGCATAGAAAAAGAGCAGTTTGTGCTGATTTAACCCCATTAAGTCTGCAGGTCACTTCAGTTCCTCACTCAGAACCACAGAGCATATTAGTACATAATAATTCATAATAGATACTGATTAGTTTATGTGTGATTTATATTTGTAGGGTTTTATATTTGTAGGGTTTAGAGGCTGTATCGATTTGATTCTTTACGATTTGTTTTAAATTGCTAAAAACTGAATCTCCTCTCTCTCTCTCTCTCTCTCTCTCTCTCTCTCTCTCTCTCTCTCTCTCTCTCTCTCTCTCTGCAGGTTGTTTATATTGGGATCGTATGATAGAGAGATGTATGTTCACTGCACCTTTGAGCTCAGCAGCCACGAATGGAGGGAAAAACCTCGCAGCTCCATCAAAACG